AAATTAGTGGCACATGCTTTAAGTTACTTTGGGGCATAAGTTTATTAGACCAGGACCACAAGAATAACTGAAATGTTCACAAATCTGGCTCAATAAATCTGTAAAATCTAAATAAGTGAGGTAAATACACGCTCTGTTATAGCTCTCAGTTGTTTGTGTTCATAGGCATGCATGACTCCTTTGATGAAATTCTTCATCTATATGATCATTATACCTAGTTTGGTGAAATGATTGCGGTTTGGAGATTTTTTTCCTTTGTTACCAATATAAAATTTAGTCTTGTGTATATATTGGTTATGCTATCATTATCGTTTATTTCAAGTAAACTTCATTAGTTTGTGCTTCAGTTGATTCATCATTTGGATTCCATTGAAACTTGTCCCCTTTTCACGTCCCTTTGTCCCAACAATTCCCGTATTTTCTCCTCATTTTCACTTTTCCCTGTTGTGGAAGGATGAGGGAGTTAGGAAAATATTTTTTGAAAGACCGGTCCTGTTTCACCATCACTATGAGAAGTTGAACAGCTTGAGGACACACTTAGTTGAATTCAGAAGTGTTGCTTGCTTTTGAAGGAACTTTGTTTGAAATTTTTACATTAACATTACAGATCAATTGCTAGTATTCTCCACTACTGTGAAGAATTATGACTTGTGGAGGATTTCTTTGCAACCTATAAAACTAAAAGTTAACAATACACATCAGCAAGTGGCTTCGAGGGTTATTAGTGGCTGATTTGAATTCAGATGTGTTGCTTGCTTTTGAAGAAACTTTGTTTCAAATTTTATGTCAAAATTACTGATCAATTACGGATATTCTCCACTAATGCGAAGAATTATTGCTTGCAGAGGCTTTCTTCGCAATCTATAAACATCAGTACTTTTTTTAAACGTTAAAAATACGCAACAGCAAGTGGTTTGGAGGGTCTTCAGAGGCTGATTTGAACAGAATACTTTCTTGATTATGCTTCATTATCTATTTGACTAGAATAGCTTGATAACTTAGTCTTCTATCAGCATTTAAGAAGTCAATTTAATTGATGATCTTGAAGAAGAAATGGCAAGTTGAATTTCAGCCTTATGGAGATCTTTTAGCATTGAAGAAAGCACTTTATTTGATGCATTTTGTAAACAATTGGCAACTTGAATTTCAGCTTTTGGAGATGGATGGAGGGTGTTATAGAGATATTGATTTTGCCCTTCTTAGCTGTGTCTTACACCTTCAAATTAGAAGTTTGATGGAGGAATATATTGCAAGACTGTGGTATCTTTTATCTTCGAGGGTCCTGATTTTAGAGTTTCATTTTCTCCCACCCTATTTAGCCCACCAACTATTTTCTTGCTCATGCCTAAAGATAGCTGCTTAAGGCTCCACTACAGAAGTGAAAGGTGAAGGGGCGTAGCTGAAGGCAGTGAGGCATGCTATGCCTATGGTCTGATTAAATATATGATATTCTTTTCTGAAGCATGCTGGTGAGTTAAAGCCTTTTAAGACATGCTACAAGCTCCTCCCTGTTCTTACTGATTTGTCTGTCACTGGTTTGCCCCCCTGCCACCATTGGTTATTTCTTGTTGTTACTATTTCTGAAAGGAACCATAAACATAGATATTTCTTTCTTATGCATGAGGGTGCCATCAAATGTGTGAGTACCCATTGAGTTTTGGGAACAATGTTTTGGATGTCTGACATTGTTATATTGGACTTGCATTACACGTTATCTTGAACTTTCTGTTTATTCAGTATTGCATTTTTTTTTCTTTGTTTTTTGATTTTGCACTTTGGCTTTGTGTGAACAGTTGGCGGTTGGTTTTTTTTCTTTGTTTTTTGATTTTGCACTTTGGCTTTGTGTGAACAGTTGGCGGTTGGTTTTTTTTCTTTGTTTCAGAGGAATTTGTATGGGTCATATTGGGATGCATGTATCAAATTTGATATTATACTGATATGATTTTGCTTATTTATTTTATGTAGAAACTATGCAGAACTGCGAGGCAGCCTTAAAATGCCTCCAGACAAGGGGTTCCCGTACAAGCTGCAATGTACAGGGAATTCAATTGAAGGCCTTCCAGAGCTTAAAGATGAAATCAGTATTCACCCAGGTGGGGATGTTGTAGAACCAGTTTGCTCATTGAGTGGGGAGTTTATGGAACTTCCAAACGAGTTTTACCCCAAACCTACCCTCCAGCATGAGTATGGCTCATGGTCAACCTTCTATCCTGACTGTCATAAGTTGCAGCCATACCCAATAAATGCTTTTGGGAGCCAATTTTACCGCTTTCCTGTGGATAACCGATTTCATTATGCCCCATTCAATGTGATCACTCATGGATATCCTTATGAATTCCAGTTCCAAGATTTTCAGTACTTTGTGGTCATAGACTTTGAGGCTACCTGTGACAAGGAGAAAAATCCCCATCCACAGGAGATAATTGAGTTTCCATCTGTCATTGTGAGTGGTGTTACTGGCCAGCTGGAAGCATGCTTTCAGACATATGTACGACCAACTTGCAATCAACTCCTGAGTGATTTCTGCAAGGATCTGACAGGCATCCAGCAAATTCAGGTCAGTTCAGAATTCGCTGTCTTTCCCAAGATTTAGAAACTTAACATTCTGGTTGGACAGCATGACTTTGCGCGATATGTAAATGATGTTGCAATGGTGGTAACACAATCACATGCTTATATTTATTGTGAGTTTTTTAGTTCATCATTGGAACTAGGTATATTTATAGTTTAAGGCATGGTGGTGAGTTCCTCTGGTATCTTGTTTCTCCTGCTAGGCTTTATATGGAAAGTTGCTTCTTAGACAAAGTGTATAAATATGTTTGGATGTGGATGTGGTAAGAACTAAGCTAACTTTACTGTTCCGACTATGCGACATTTATGTTGCTGATAAACATGTTTCTTGCAATCCGTTCTCCTGGGTTAATTGAAGAAAGGATTGCCAAATATGTTTCTGCCTGGACAGGCTTAAATTTGCTGGAATTGGTTTCTAATTTTTGGTACATATATTGATATGCTGGATTGCTGCTGTACTCTATTTTTGATCTTTTTTGCTAAAAGATGCACTAGTAGAAAAATCATGAGTTGGGAAGCACAATGTTAGTGTTTATATTTTTGTCACTGACTTGGCAATAGCTTCAATTGGATTTTATTAGGGTGGTATGACGGAGTTTGGGTGGTCTTCCTATTTAGGCTTGATGGTAAATAAGGGTGCAAAACCAGGGATTGATCTGTGGCAGGACAACTAAGATTGTGATTATTATCTCTACTGATGGTTGACGTATTGGTTTCTTGCTGTCTTTCCTCAACTTTTTCCACTCTGACTTCTGAGCCTATATTCTTAATATGCATTTATGTGTTCTAGGTGGATAGAGGTGTTACGCTGAGTGAAGCTCTCCTTAGGCATGATAAATGGCTTGAGAAGAAGGGCATAAAGAACACCAACTTTGCTGTGGTGACATGGTCAAACTGGGATTGTCGCGTAATGCTGGAATCTGAGTGCAGATTCAAGAAGATCCGGAAGCCTCCTTACTTTAACCGGTAAATAATTTTGATACGAGCTTGTTTGCTTATTATTTTTTTCATAGTTTACATACTTGTTTATAAAAATGATAATAGTGTTTGACACTTTTTAAGAAAGCCATTTGTATTAAGTTTTTCTTATTATTTTCCATTTGGCAGGTGGATCAACTTAAAAGTTCCTTTCAGTGAGGTTTTCGGTGGCGTGAGGTGCAACTTGAAGGAGGCTGTTGAGATGGCAGGCCTGGCATGGCAGGGGCGTGCCCATTGTGGCCTCGATGATGCCAAAAACACGGCACGCTTACTTGCCCTCTTGATGCGCAAGGGTTTTAAATTCTCTATCACAAACTCACTGATGTGGCAGACTAGCGATGGTCCATTGACATGGAACCCGATCCCTGAGAACATGGCCTTCTCTCCACATCATCCCCACAAGCCAAAGGATCAGCATATGCCCCTATTTCAGTACCACCCATACTGTTTCTGTGGGGTGAAAAGTAGCAAAGGAATGGTTCGGAAGCCTGGGCCGAAGCAAGGAAGTGTGTTCTTTGGCTGTGGAAACTGGACTGTCGCCAGAGGTGCCCGCTGCCACTACTTTGAGTGGGCGTCTCCCTGACTTGAATTTGCAAGGGCTTGTCCATCTTTCATGATGGCATCTTAAACCCTTCTTAGATGTCTTGTAAAAAAGGGGAAAAAAAAAGAAAAAAAAAAGAGGTTAAAAGGGAGAATGCTAGTGGGTTGTCTCCTTGTTGAAGCATATACACCTTAAGTTGCTTTAACTGCTAGGTGAGGCTTCTGCTTGTTAGGAAACACATATTAGCACTGGGCACTGTAGCTCAGGAGAGTGCACGGGTGCAGTAAAACATCGGTCTTCCAAGTAATGGGAGCTTCAACCTGTAAAGCTGACTTGTTGACAGGAGAACAAATCGGGAATGTGAGGATTGGCTAGTTAGGATGATGCATTTACATGCTTAAACATGGTAAGTTTCATAATAATCTTATGAGATAGGGACACCGTGGTTTCCTATGCGTTTCTAATGGGAATGCACTGTTGCTTTGCACCTTATTTCTTGGTTTCCTTTCCCCTCTGACCAACAACCACCCAAATTACACAAAGACAAATCCAGCACCTATCTTTTCAAGAGGTCCAAACCATTTGGAACTACTCAGCAGTTTCCAAATTGATATTCCAACTTGTCTGGGAAGGACCAGGATGCAAGAAACTTGGTAATACTAATACTAGGATGATTTTAGGCATGTGATAGCGTATTTACTTAAAAGGATTAATGATCAGTGGTATCAAGATTTATTCAAAATTTTACTAATGTGAGTTCCCCACAAGATATTAGACACAAATCAAGGTAGATCCCTCCCTTTGATGAGTGACTAATTATTGACGGTCAAAATATCACTCACATCACATGTCACAGCATGTGGACTAAAAAAAATTATCATTTTGCTACTACGGAGGCAAATAATAATAATAATAATAAAAAAGGATGGGGCTCATTTTATTAAATTTGCTAGGCCAAAAGCTTAGAAGTAGTGTATCGAACATTGGTAAAGCTCTTAGGGCAGGTGGCGGCTATCCTCTACAATAACTCACCGCTCATACAATACCCCATGTGATAAAAGCCTTACATCACGTAGAATAGAAGAAGAATGGGCAAGAGAGGCAGAATTTACAAGGGAAATACATGGTGCTGGAACTAAGACTCAGGTTGCTCAGATTTTAAAGGTGCCCCTGATGAGGATGCACAGCTCCCATTCTGAAGGTGAAGGCTGTTTGCAACCATAGAATCACTAACCAAGCCAACATCGACATCATCAAAGTTGAGGGCGCCTCTGATCTTCCGGTTACTGAAACCAAAACAGTTCATTTAGCACATCCCACAAGAATTTCTATTTCCCTGGAGAGTGAAGAAGAAGAGAAGAATACCCATTCAAGTGATTGTTGATGGCAGTTAGGTCCTTTGAAGGGCTTTGAAACGCACGGGTACTCTCTCCAACACAAGCATAATAGCTTCTTGAGCTATGCGAGATGAGAGCATCCATCTGTAGATGAAACAAGGCACACACACTTCTTAACTATGTAGCAACCATAGATTCCAGTAAGATACAGAAAAAAGGCCAAAAACAGGAATAAGGAAAATTTTCTAATACTTCTGTCAATCAAGAAACAAAACCCAGGATTCAACTGTTTCACAAGATTATGAGACTTATATATTGCATTGCAAGTTAAAGATTCTTCGTTTTCCTTTTCTGCCCTTTCTAAGGGTGCTGCATTTTTAATTTACGAATCTGGTTTACTAGTAAATGGAAAATTGATCACTCAAATCAACTCAATGGAGAAAAGAGAAAAAGATTAAGTACCTTGGATGTTCGCAATGGAGACACATATACGTTGTGTGTTGCAGATACTTTCTTCGGGGACATATCGGGCAGACTCGGAAAAGGAGCAACTTTAGGTGATCCAGGGCATGGACCTAATTAGCAATGAAGCAAGAAGAAGAAAATTAGAATGGCTTGCAGAGGAAGCAAGGACAGAATATAACATCAAAATCTCCCACATAATAATGGGAAAAAAAAAATGAAAGGTTTACCATGATTACTATTGTTGGCTTCAGGAACCTGGCTTGTACTTGTATTTGCTCCAGTAAGACCAACTTCTACCAGCAAAGGCTTTATGGCAGGAATAAATATTTTATTGTAAAATGTAATAATATCAACATGGTCCTGCCCGGTTATCTGTTTTAAGATCATTAAAATTGTTAAAATTCCCTAGATACGCAGGCAGCATAGATAATAGAGATGAGATATCATACCCCATTCCGTTGGGCTGCTAACCGATCAACAAATACGCTGCAGAAAACTTGGGGTTTACATTGTGGTTGCTTCTTATAGTTGCGAATAATTTCTCCAAAAGTAAGAGAGCTCTGCAACTGAGAAATCTGCACGCCATTTATTCACAAAGTAAGAGGAAGCAGTGCAGATAAATTGAACAGCAGCTCAAAGATCTCATATGAAGAGCAGACCTTTGCAACTACATAGAAACAACAAAGGATGATCTGGTCAATATGACGGTTAAAGAACAGAGATGTCCGCTGGCTAAGTACTTGTTGAAAAAGACAATATACACTCTCCCTAATCTGTTGAGACAGTTGCAGCCTCTCAACCATACCATTAATCCTGACAGCAGCCAGCTTATTAATCTAGGCAGTGCAAAGCAAGCAACATGTTAGACTCGGAGCAGACCTATAACTACAGAATCTAAATCAAATTCAAAACTCAGTGCACGTGGGCAATTTGCCAGCAGAAAAATTATATCAAGGGATATTTACAATGAGCACTAATAGGTTAAATTTTGTAACAGTATAAGCATACATAAGGTGTACCATAATTATGTAAGAATTTATGCAAATGAATGAAAATCTAATTTATCTCATATTTTGATACCTTGCTAAAAAATATATTTATTCCGGTTTCCGCACATGTTTCTCCTCCACCACCTGGGTTAGGACGTGTTGGACTAAAGAACAAATGGCCCAAAAGAAAATGCAGTTAGCCATTGCAAATAGTTCAGGTTTTCTACTTCCCCTAGAACTTACAGCATACAATACCTGGCAAATGCAGATTGCAAAGGAGCCTTCTTAAGGTTGCTAAATGCTAATAGACGATCCTTCACTGGTGATGTAAAAGAGTTCCGTTCAACCAAAACACTCCTGTAGTCTGTGCATAGTCTCTTTGGAGACCTGACATCCCCATTTTGACCTGAGAAAAGTAACATGACTGTAAATTAGGTTCAGGATAGAATCAAATTTAATGCTTTGAAAACAGATAACTGTAATTAAATCCTAGAAAACAAGCTACTACATTAAACAGCCAAATCAACATACTGGTGACAGTTTTTGATATCTAAAGACATAACAAATGGTATGACTAAGCTACCACTGTTGCATTCCTAAGATTGAGCTACTGACATTACCAGGTGAAGTTTCATGCTTCTGCAAAGAAGGCAAAGGAGGCATGCCTCCAGAAAAGTTGATATGCATTGCAATTGCATCCAAAGACGGCATTGGTTCTGCCAATAAGCCAAGACGATCTATTTCAGCAGCTAGTGCAGGTCTTGCAACTATCAAAGAATTGTACATTGAGGAACCTTTATCCCAAACCATACTCTCCAAAAGTCTCTCTTCAAGAGAATTCAGATGCCGCCTCAATTCTCTTGGTAGGGAATCCTCATGTCTAATGAAACTCTCTATCACCTTGCTAAGATCAAAGGCTGTAATACCAGTTCTGTCCAGAACTGTAGGAAACAACATTGTGGCAGTCTTATGTGTTGCTAACACTAGTTCGGCAGAACAAGCAAGCATACATCTGTGAAATCTCTCATTAGTTAATAAGGAAGTCAAATTAGTTGCATGCAATATTTGGGCCTCTGCAGTACACATAGCTTCCAAAACCCTATAGTATAGCTTAAGTGCTTCCAGTCTTCGATGTTCCATCCATATATTATCCATCAGGTTTGCACCTTGAAGGCTTCCAGTTACACCACGCTCATGATTACTTGGAAATATTGCCTCCAATATTATATGTGCCCTACGTATCACATCATTGGTAACATCTTTATCACAGGATGATAAAAACCGCTGCAACTCTGCAGAGGGTTTCGAAGGAAGTGGACAAATAACAGTACGAAGCCACTTTGCAGTTGTCATTGCAGTGCTGACGGGTGTAGCTGCCACCTTTGCATTTGGCGGTCCAAGGACACCATTTCCATGAGATGCAGGAGAACGATGTGGAGACAGTGGGCTTGAGATTGTCTTTGATGGTGAAGCTATTGAATCAAATTTCCTCTACTCAAAACAGAATAAAAAACATTCTTAGATAAAGTCACTGCGCCATAAAGCATGAAGACCAACAAAGGTGAATATGCTTTCTCAAATATGAAACACACCTTCATGCTAGTTACATTCCCAGCACCTCCAGACAAGCTACCTGAACCAAGAAAACTATCTTCCTCATTTATAAACACCCTCTCGTCCAATTCACCTTTATTACGAATTGCATCATCATAATCCTTTTCTAAAACATTCAAACTGGATGAAAGAGATTGTTCATCCATTAAACCTTCAAAATAGATCAAGCCATCTGCATCAAAGAGAAGCAGATAGTTAGAAGCCGAAGCAAATGAAAGCATACACCCCAAATTACATTCATGAACTTTATAACTTACCCGTATCAATATTTTCCAATGTTTCAGTTTTGCACTCCGATGCTGGACAGGGCTTTTTTTTCAATATATCTTCTACTAACTTGTTGGCCATCTCCATTGTTTTCCTCAAATCATCTTCTGAAGCATCATACATGTTGCAAAGTGATGCAAGCAAGTCAACACCTTTGTCACCTTTCTTAACTGAACAACCACATGTCAAAGAAATCAACAATAAGTAAAGGCAAAATTTTATCCCAAACAGGAAATGCAAATAGAAAAAAGTAAAAGGGTAAGGACAAAACATTGGTTAAGAATCTCAAATGCATTCTCCTTATCAGAAAGAAGGATGGTTCTAAAAATTTGATTACTGCAAAGAGAAGATAATTACCAAAGCGTGGGGAGTCACTGATCTTGAAGTTTCTGAAGCGAACAGGAACATGTATAATCAGAATAGCCTGTTAAAAATTACATGCTCCAGTAAATGTACAAGGATATATTGCATCTAAGACAACAACATATTAGAGTTGAATCTTTTGAAGAACATTTAAATGTATATATCAACTTTTATTTTCCATTTGTTTAATAAATACTCGTTCTGTTAATCCATTATCTGTACTAATATAAGCAGAACAACATGTTTCATTAGAACAAGATGACATGTTATTCCTTATTGCAACCAAGTCCGCCTTCTCACAATCTACTATTAAGAAAGCCCAGAAAAGTGTAACTGACCAGAACAGAAACAAAACCATTTGCGCAAGTCACTAGGTCTTTAAAACGGCTGAAAGCATGCACACGGAGAGCCAAAAACAGTAACCACCCCAAACGATGGTACTCCGACACATAATCAGGAGCACTCGTAGCATTTTGCTCCTTGTCAATATTTGCATCACTTGTCAAGAAGAGTTCCCGAAATGCACGCTTGTATGACCTTTTGTACCATTAAATAGCAAGATGCAAATGTTATTTACTTTACAAAATGGAAAATTATATAAAGTAAGCAGAAAAATTTGGTTTCAAAGGATGCAGTTGCTCAGTGAATAATAATAAAAATTCATCATACAGTACAAATTCTGTGAAATAATAGCATTGAATAATATATTATTGGAACATAATTATACAATCTGTCTAAATGAGAATATCATAAATTTAATATTGTTATCCATCTAGACAAGATAACAATCAAACATGCCACATGACGAGCTATTGGTATAATTAGGACACACACAATCACATATGTATATACATACACACATACATACATACGTAGGTTTTACTTTTCAAGATCTTTGATATGCAAATGTTGTACACCCTCCCTCCCTCCCTCCCTCTCTCTCTCTCTCTATACATACATACATATACATACATATATGTATATAGACACACACATACTTACGCATGTATGCATGTTTTATTTGTCAACATCTTTGATACACAAATGTTGTACACCCTCCCTCCCTCCTCTCTAATAAACACTTAATCCAAACACCAAAGTATGTGTGCTTTTGTAAATTTCAGACAAGATTCAAGACAATATAAACAATCTCGCTGCAGAATCTACATGCCATTATAGAGTATAAATTGATGAATGAAAAGCAATATTCCTTTTCACTAAGGTGCTTTGCATTTAAGAGTAACCAATCGAATTTAGCAAATCATAGTTATACTAACAAATAGATTGAAAATGCTAGTGCTGTCGCAAAGTTATGTGCACATAGCATCTTCTAACCTTGAAGATGATATAAAAGAAGGGCACATACTTGCTTAGAAGGCTCAAGTGCACAAAATTGGCCTGCAACTCCTTTGCCTAATCAATTAAGTACCATAAGTAGAGAGTCAAATAGAAGTCAGACGACCATAAAAATTTAAGGAAAAAAAAAGCAAGTTAAACCATCAATCTATATTCTTTCACCACCTCAAGTCTACTCTCCCAATCTTCACCATACATAATATTTAAAACAGGACCAGCTTTGACCACAAACTGAGGCAGCTCTTTAAAGAAATCCACAATACTGCAAGATCAAAAAAGCTCACTATCATTAAAACAGACATCAATCCCAAATACTACCCATGTTTCCCCAAAATTAACAGCATCATACTTTAGCTTTGTAGCTCTCAATATCTGGCATATTGTAAACCCATTTTCATCAGACCCTTGCTTTAGATTTTCTCCGCTCTTTTCACTTAGCTGCTTCAGTGAATACAAAACAAACGAAAAGCAAAATCGCTCTGCTTCTTCCTGCTAATCCAGTATAAAGGCAACAAAGTTAGTTCACCTAAAAGCAACTATGTTTAGTGATTCCATATGAAAAGAAGTTCAAAAATATCTACCGTCCCACTCCCAATCGAAATATTTGATGATAAAAGGTTTTTGGTTTCTTTGAATAGCTTCATAGCTTCCGTGCAAGTTTTCTCATCCAAAGATAATCCATTCTAAAAATCATAACATTTGAAAAACCACGTCACTACCAAAGAAAAAGCAAAATTTAAAATAATAATAATAAGAAGAACAAGAACAAGAACAAGAAGAAGAACACATCACTACCTTGCACAAGGCAGTGAACCTAGCTTCAATGGCATCACCATCAGTGCTGTTGGAAGTTGTAACTGAACGCTTCCCGTCTTCCATATTTCTTCCAAATAACCCTAGAAGAAATTAAAGATTCTACCTTTCAAAAAAAGAAACTAAAGATTCTGATTCCCTCCAAAAGTTTTGAGAAGAAGCTCATAATCAGCATATTCAAGATTAAGCTAGCTACTAGAGGCACTAATTTAAAAAAAATCACAAACTGTTAACAAAATTCAATTTATAAAATAAAAAATCCACAAATTAATCAAAGCAACTTAAATCCCCAAAATAAAAAATTTGCTCCCAAAATTTATTTTTTTAGCTATTACTAACAAAAGCAAAGTAAAAACTGGAGGAAACAAGCTTTTTTCCTTTTTTGTGCTTCTGAACATGGCGAATTACTTTCAACAATGCCAGCCAAACAATTCAAAAATTACAATCAAAGTTAAAACAGAATTAAAAGAAAACTTACAAATTTGAACTTGAAATTCGGTTCGGATCTCGGATCTACAGATCCAGTCAAGCAGAAAACCCTAGCTTAAATCCTCACCCCCAAAAAAGAACACAGCGTTTTAACGGATCGAGAAAAAGAAAAATCAGTGAGGAAGAAGAAGGATTTTCCTTTTTTTTATATATTTTTATTAAGAACAAGAAGAACCCTAAAATTTTCCCTCTCTTTTTTTTTCCTTATTTTCTCTTTCTATAACTTTAGGCCTCTTTTTGTGGAAACCCTAGCAAGGAAGGATCTTTCTCTTAGCGCGGGAAAACTAACCAACATAACATCATGATGACCATGCACATGCGCATGACATGCACGGTTAGCCAATCACATTTTGCCACGTCATGATGTGGATTGGCATTTTACCGCCAAATTTGTTCAACGTCTCGGCCGTTACGAAGATTCCGTTTTGAAACGGTGGGTAAAAAGGGTTCTGTTTTCACCGTTACGGTGAGTTAACGGAGAGTGGCTAGGCTGGGCCGAGCCGCTCAAGGGGGATGATCTTGGGGTCTTGGAAATTGAAACGGTGTTTGCCAAGAGACTCGTGTGGGTGTGCGGGCCCTCCGAAAAAGGATCGTCTCTCTTTTTCTGTGTCGTTTAGCGCGAGGAGTTGTGTCGTCTTGTGAGGAGCGGAATGTTATTATGATTGCGTCCTCACAAGACTTTTCTGTAGGACCTCCTAAGTCTTACCCCATAAATTATTCAACACCATTACAATTAAAAAGAATTATTTTTTTAATAAAAATCATTTAATGCACTTAAAATTCTCATTTATAGGTTCTAGATTAAATTAAAGTGTACACATTTACTTTTATTTACCTTATTTGTGATATTTATGTTAATTTTTGGACTTTTGATTAAAAACGAAAATTAAACAGATTGCGATTTTTAATTTTGATGAATTCGAACTCTAAAAAGATACATACTCGTACCATTAAACTAAGGATTAGGTGCATTAAACGTTTGTAGTTTATGCAAATTATTATTATCCATATTAATGCAATGGGCTTGATTTTGGCCATATTTAGGGCATTAAGATATAAATCAAACATCAGCTTGCAATTCCAAATATTGTTTTACACCAAAGTTAACATCAAAACCCCAAACACAAAGAAAAAGGAAAGGTAATATACAAACACTGACAGAAGTATTTAGCTACTTAGTTGAAGAAACCTTTGTGCCATGGGATGCTTGGCCTCAGACAGCTCATCAGGCTTCAATACCTCAACAATTTCACCATTGACAAGAAGGCAAACTACATCTGCCACCCTTTGGATTTGCTTGATGCTGTGAGAAACCATGACAACAGTCATTCCCTTTTTCTTCTTAAGCTTCACTATCACATCCTCTATGTTCTGTGTCGAAATCGGATCCAATGCACTTGTTGGCTCATCCAGCAGCAAAACCTTTCCAGAGAGAAAAAACCAACCAAGAAATTAGCCTGAACCAATGCAAAGTTTTTGACTGCAACATATTAGCAGGGGGTATGGAGTATGGAGTACCTCTGGTTCATTTGCTAGTGTCCTAGCCAGTGCAACTCTCTGAGCTTGACCCACAGATAATTCACCACCAGTCTTACTGAGAAAGGAGGAATCAAGGTCTGCAAGTGTTAGCAACTTGGAAACTTCTTCATCACCTAACTTCTTTCCTCTCAAACGTGGTCCATATCGAATGTTATCTGCCACAGTGCCTGAAAGTGACACTCTTCATTACTTTCATTACTGAAAAATTTTTCTTAAAGAGTTTGGTTTGTCTATATACAAACAGTTGAAATCAAGACATCTATGAACTCGAGTTAGCTTTTCTCTTTCAGTAAAAGATACCAACAAACCAACCAATCAAATAAACAAAATCAACATAGAATTGGATTAAATCCACAAATCCATGCATACTAGGAGTTAAACTTGGAATCTAAAGATTTCTTCTTTGCAATTGAAACAAGGTAAGGACTTGAAGTGAAGTGATAAGCTTGAAGCAATCATATTTGCATATGGTAAAATTGTTGCTGAACCTGTTAATGGGTACCTCAGTTTTACAGTACCTACCATTGATGGACCTGAAAGGACCAATCATACTTCAAAATTTGCCCATTCTTTTTTCAACTGTAATTTACAGCTTAATGGAATATCTATAGTCTTACCTTGAAAGAGAACAGGAAGCTGGAAGAGCATGCCGACTTTACGGCGAAGTCCAAGAACATCAAGATCAACAATATCATGACCGTCAAGGAACACCGTGTCCGACGGAGGCTCCCAAAGGCGATTGAGTGCTCGAAGCATCGTCGATTTCCCACTCCCGCTCGGTCCGATGATCCCGACGATCATCCCCTTGGGGATATCGACGCTGATCCCGTTAAGTATAGTAACACCCGCTTCCGATACTTTCCTCAAACCACGAATCTCGAATTTCATCCCACGATCATGATGATTACTGTGTTGATGATCAGCGTCGTCAACGGTTAACAGCAAATGCTCTGCAGACATTTTCTCTTTGGATGTTTGCTTTGTCAGTTCCATTTGTTAGTATTTAACGTGACAGGGGAAACGATGGCCTGAATACTACCTTCCCCATTAAGCATTTCTTCTGTATATATAACCTTCACCACTTGTTGCTAGGGATCATCTGCACCATTGCCATACAGAACCAAATCCCGTCAACGACAACTTTATCCTAACTGCTGTCGCCATTTTACACAAAGAGATGGTTAAATGGTAGGACAAATTTTAGAGTCAAACTAATCTTAACGTAAGGTTATGAATAAAAGTCATTAGATTTAAAAGATTTCTTTTCAGCCATTGATTAATAAAATAATTTTCAACTTGTTTATTATCAAATAGGTTAAGAAAAAAACATAAAGAATCCAAAATGAATAAAAAGAAAAAAATTAACTAAAAAATACTAGGGTTATAAATTTATATTTTCTAGTTAAAACTATTTAACTGTTTATAAATTTTAATTTATAAATAAATAATAGTAAAAGTAAAAATAATTATTTATTAACCTAATTTTTATTATAATATTTATTTTAAAAAATTTTCAATCGTTAATATTTTTTACTCAAGAATATAAATATAAATGATTAATTTTAATGAAAGTTTTGTTATTCTCTTTGTTAATTTTTTCTTTTTAATTAATATTTTTTATTTTTATTTGTTACAGATTATTTAAGCTTTTTTTCTTAACATGTTTGATAAATAATCAGGTTGTAATTTTTTTTATTGGGCAACGGATAAAATAAAAACCTCTAAATCTAATAACTCTTAGCCAATAGCTGTATCAATTTTATTGACCTTACTGTAAAATTTGCTGTTACAATTTGGCTGGAAGGCACATCTACAGGATTGTGATATTGTTTATTTAGTAATTATTTAATTTATTAATTTTTGTAAATATATTATAATAATAACACATACCAATCTTTTACTATTAATTTATTAGGTTTATCAAAATTAATATATTAATTAATTATTCAATAAATATATTACAACTATCTAGTTGCGCTTGTTAAGATTATTAAACCCCTCTTTTTTGTCATAAAAAGTTAATAAATTAATTAATTGTTAACAGGACGTATAACAACTACTAATCTGGATTTTGAAATTTAAAAATTTCATCTCAAAAAATAAAATAAAATAAAATAATAATAATAATAATACATTAATATCATTTGTGATTTTCCATGGTTAAAAATAAAAATTTAACACCTACAGCTAAGAACCCTTTCAACCTACATGATCTGACTAAGCCTCTGGATCAGTCTCACCATCTATCATCCCTGCCTCCACTTCAGCATCTGCTTCTAATTGCCCAGCTTCTTGACCAACATCAGTATCAGGGCTTTGCTTTTGATGTTCATCTGGTGTTGGAGTGCCACCTTGGGAATTATTTCCAGTTCCAGCTGTGACATCGGTATCCATCAGTGCTGCAGATGCCTCCATATCGGCTCTCATTCCCTCACCATCAACCTCGCTTGCAGGTGTTGCAATCTAGAAAATACCCAAATAAAGGACAAAGATTAGAAACCCGAAAAGACTTGAATAATCTAAGAATATGTTCTTTTGGTGTTTCTATACCAGCTTCTCTGACAATGTATTGTAAGCCAAAGAAAGAAAAAACTATCGAAAGGCAACTTTTACATTCCAACCATCTAATCTAATGCAGTTTCCTCTAGATGTACCAAGTTGTCTGGAATGCTATGCTAAACACTGCAGATACCAGAGATGACAAATAAAAGCAAAGCTGAAAGTTGCCAGAGAGAGATACCTGACTTTCTTCAACCTGATGCGAAGAAGTCTTCGTCTCCTCCTTTTTAGCACGTTTAGACCTGTCACTAGGTTTACCTTGGAACTTGGATCGCACTTCAGGCGGGAGAAGTTCTAAAGGAACTACTCCTTCAATACCATGTTCAGTAAACTGCAACCACGACCATGTAAATTTCATTAGACTACATGATTATATGTAAAATATCTTCATATGTAATATAACATACTTTAGAAAACCCTTCCAAGTCTTGCCGAGCAGCAAAACGAAGGCCCTTCCAGCAATAAACCTGTATAAAAAATTGCCAGAATTTCAACATCCATGAATATATCTATATTAACCTCATTTTTATAGAACAACTATCAATAATAACATGTTCATGTCAGATTGATTATAGTATTTTCTTTTATTTAATTGTTATACCTACATACATCAAAATCTTCAGAGCGGTTTGTCAATACCAATAGTACAATCATATGCAAGTACAATGAGTGCACATATGCATCTTGTTAATTATTTGATGGCCGTTAATCCAATGCAACAACTATATGACAGGCGTTGCACAGTTTACGTAAAAATGTAAGATAGGGAAGCCCTAGAATTCATTGAAGTTCATAATGAGTTAATGACAGCTTTTCCATAGTTCAATAACTTTCTTGGGTATGTCAAAAGAACTTCGGCATCATTAATAAAAACCAACCCAACATACACACATGTATGCTTGCATGCATGTATATTAAGAGAAGACCTGTCCACAGACCGCGCCTTGGATAGAATTTTAAGGCCCTAGCCGACTTGGCCTGAGAACATATTATATAATAAATAATATTTTTAATTAAATTTTAATTCTAAAATATATTTAAAAATTATTAAGATATAAATATGAAAATATTTTTTAATATTTTAATAATTATAAATAACTTAAATGAGTAGGCCTGGCGGAATCTTATGACGTTAACTGGGCCTGGACTGGCC